TCAGCCACAAAAACTGATGTCAAGTTTTGTTTAATATATCTATTTAAAGGGATTTCAGTGTCATGGTCAATGAGACCTAAAAGTGAGATCATGTTTTATAAACTAAGCCTGATTTCCCAACGGAGGTAAAAGGACTGATTTGGGGGTATCAGATTAAATCAGATTAAAGAAAAGAATAGTTTTTCATTGAAAAAGGAAAATCTTCAGGGGTATGAATACTTTTACAAGGCACTGTTTGTTACTAATCAAAAAAGAATTCAAATACATACAAAAACATAATTTCTAATAGTGTTATGTGCTGGTTAAAAATTGGATCAAAATGCTTAAAAATTGATAAAAATAGTGCGAAGAGTTTTTTTGTTTTTTTTTTGTAAAAGGCTTTCAATTGTTTGTTTAAAGGGTTGCTGGTGGAGAAGAGAAGGGAGAAATCATTAAAGAGGAATCCCAAGCATATGGCTGGCTTTTGTCGGCTCCCCTCCCCCTCCTACCGTCCGCTCCGCAGCAGCAGCAGCAGCAGCAGCAGCAGGACGGAGCTACTTCAGTTTTTGAAGCCGTGGCATGAATGATCTCATCTGAACCTGATCTCCGCTTTCTCTGCCGTCGATCCTATGACCGAGACGGAAAGAAAATAACACAAACACGAGGTGAGTCCTGCTACCCAACCACCGGCAGCGGGGTTTTTAAGCAGGCACCGGGGTGAACGGCTGTTTTTTGGGGGGAACTTTACAACCCAGTCGCGGCGAAAACTCTTGTTTTCGGCCAGAAAGGAGGAAGGACCGAGGGGGGATGATGGGTGGGTGGGCGCAGTTAGCTCATTAGCTTTCCGCTACCTAGCCTTATGGATCGGGGGGGGCAAATGGGACCAGGCGCGCGCCAATAATTTTATAACTGTACGGATGCCGTGTTCTCAATTTCATCTGTTCATTTACAGGCACTCTGGGAGACCTGTTCGGGAACCGTAGCCGAGCTAACCGGCTGTTAGCTCCCAGCGCAAAATGGCCTCATTGTGGCTGGAAAGACAAAGCACGCGGCGCTAACGGTTAAAGTCCCCCCTAAACGCCTTAATGCGTTTAAACATAATGGAAACAGCGTTTCATCGAATGGGAAATGGGGAAACTATATCTGCCGTGCTTAAAATGCTGTTTATTAAAGCGGTAAATGAAGGTTTTTCGGAGTGAGGCGGTGGGGGATGGGTCCTGCGAGGAGCCATTGACGTAAAGCGAGGGTGGATTTTGTTTGGCCCCAAAGCGCTAAACGACAAACACTTCAGTGTTTGCATTTTAAACCGTGTAATGTCGTTAGTTACAAATCTAAGTATAATTGAGCTACTGTAGACCTAGTATTATATGTGCAGTTTGAGTAACTGGGCCTTTGAAATTCATTTCCTGATACTGCAACAGTGCTGCTCCAGTCCCAGTTTTTGGCTTAAACCGTTAAAATATTGCATCATGTAAAAGTCACTGTATATAAAACACCTGTTTTAAATAGATATTAATATTAACAACTTATACTGTAAATTATATAAATCTTAGCCTACAGAATTTGGCACAGAAATGCATTTTACAAATTTGATTTTGAGCAAAAATAATTGGATAAAGGTCATACCTTGAAATTAAGGAGAATAAAACAAATAAATTTAGTTCTTAATACAATTACAAACATTATATGTAAACAAAAAAAACAACCTAATTGATAATACAACAAGGATACACAACACATATATGTATATTTTTATACAGTCCCCAAGTTGAATGACCTGTGCTGGGATCAGGTAACTAAAGGTTATCTAACTTAACAGTTTGAAAACCTCAAAATAATAAAGTTCTACACAGATTTCTACCGTTTCTTTAAAATGAGATGACAAAGAAACGAGTGGAAGGACAGGTTTTTCTCTGGCTTTGTAAAATGTGGTGAAACTATCCTTTCCCCGGAAGTTGCTGCTCACTGCCAATCAGCTGGCCAAAAAAAAAAGTTTCCCAGCAAAAAAATGTTCCTCTTTTCAAAATCCAGCTTAAGTCAGAAAAAAGTAAACAGTAAATGGGTGTAAAAATCTTCAATATTTTAACTGCAAAGTTGTTTGTTTAGATTTTTTTTTATGAAGTCTTACAATCAAAGTAATAAATGGATCAGTAATACAGTTTTAAATCATAACATGAAAATGTCATGATGGTTCCTGTTTTTAGCCAGCTAGTAATTTAAAGCTCTCATCTGAAGGTTGGTGCTTTAAGCTTTACCCTATGCCAAATTTTAGCCTATTAAATTGAATAAGACAGGAAGTACTTCAGAGGTTATCGTACTTGTTTTGTTGCGTTCCATTTGTACTTAAAAATTGGGATGTTGAATGGCCAAGTAGGTTTGCTCAACTAAACAATTCATAAAAGTCGGAATCCATTTGAGAAATTGGATCAACGTGACCATACTAACTACAGCGTTTAAGATGGCTGTGACTCACATTAACATGCAAAAGTACTGCAAGCTCACCATAAACAAATTGCTAATGCCATTTTAGCTTTATCTTCAGGATTGGCTTTAATCGTTTAGCTACCTTCGTTTTTCACTGTTATAGAAATTTGGACTTACTACAGATCGGTAGAGGTTTTAGGGGAAAAAAAGCCTAGCATGATGCCTCAAAGCCAAATGGACATTCCTCTTTCTAAAACTCCAATAACCATATGCTCATATTAAAATAAAGCAATCTACAACAGGCGTTGGTTTGTGGTAGTGTTTACTTAGGCTGTGTCGTCCACCCTAACCCCAAATCCCTCAAACACTATATAGAGCGGGAACTTTATAGTGAACAAGGTTAACTTACCTGTCACATGACTCCGCTTCCCTGCTCTGTACCTGCACCAACTCTATGGCCCATGTAGGGTAGTGACAGCCGGCCACTGTGACAACAAATCCCATAATGCTTTATGAGAAGAGCTATCGCAAAGCAATCTGGGATAAATCTGCTCATCTAGTGACCATAGATGATCACTACTTTTCAAGATGCATTGTGGGGAAATAAAATTTTGGACAGTCTTTTTAAATGGCGTAATCACAATATAGTGCCCTATATAGCTATTTGGGTGGACGTTGGTTTTCTTTGCCCTTTTCCTTAATTTCTTTCGAACCTTGGCTTGGCAAATCTTCACTAACTTGGCTCTATTACTTCCTTGTTTGCTCTTAGCGTATGAGCAATTTGTGCCTTTGCTCACAAGGAATACAAAATGGCAAAAACATGTAAAACGTCATAATAAAATGAATATCGTCGACATTGAACCATAATTTTATTCTTATTTTTTATCTTATTATATTGTATAGTTGGATGTGTGTATATATCATGTAAAACTGTAACTAGAGCGTGTAACAAAAGTAATTTCCCTCTGGGATTATTAAAGTATTTCTGATTCTGATTCTGATTCTGATAATTTAATAAATGGCCATTGTATGTAAACCAACTGGGCTACTAGTGGAAAAAAATGGTTAAGTTATAGGTAACAACAAGGCCCCTTTAGAACTGATAACGCAATATCTTATTTACCTATATTTGGGAATAACAGCACTTTAATATAAAACATTTTCAGCAGTATTATTTGATTGCTCTTTATTAACTGGTTAGCCATTGTTGATGTTAATAGTGTTATGAAAAACTGATAACCAACAGAGTTTTGACAGTCTTGTACAATGAATGAATTAACGAGGTACAAATCATAAGAAGTGCATTTGAAAAATATCAAAAGCTTTGTTTTCTTTATCCACAAATTGAATGTTGTACATTAGGTGAGGATTGGTGGGAATTTTTCATTCCAGTTAAGTGGGAAATGTCCTCTTATTCTGAGTACAAACAGGATGCATCATATTAATTTCTTCTAGGTTTTATCTTTAGGTAAATACAAAAAATCAACCTTACTTTTTATTTGTTTAACTGATCTGGATTTAAGATGTTTTCTTCCATTTTACGTTGTTGGATAAGCAAAGTATGATGGTATAAAAAGTGTATTCTTAATTTTGAAGCATCATTTGTTAACTACTTCCTACTTTTTACATAAAAAAAAAAACATTTTTAAACATGCTATTGATGTTTTTCAAAAGTTTGCATCTTAACTCCCCCAAATGCTGAGCTCAGTCTTTCAAATGTTACATAAAAAAAGAAGTGTTTCCTCTCTGTATAGTGGTCTACCAATGGTCTCTGGAGTTGGACTTCCTGACTGTCTTTGATTTCTGTCTCATTTCCTTTCACATCTCTGTTTTCTTCTAAAGACACAGTAATTCTGTTTAACTAAAACTTTAATTGTAGAAGATGCATCCAAAATGGTTTTCTTAATTTTTTTTTTTTTTGGGTCTTTGGTAATTGTTTAAACTGTGTATATTGCCCACAAATGTTATTTTAGGCAAATGATGACTAAAAAGGTGTGTAGCCACATAAGCCGTTCTGTGTTCATTGGAACCACTGGTGTGAACGGATTATAACTAGAGATGCACCAATCAGATCTATGGCTAAATCCTTTTTTTTCTTTTTTTTTCTTTTTTGGTAATTCTTCATATAGTTCTTCAAGCTTCGATAACTTAGGTATAAACTAAACCTTCCTGTTTTGAGACATGTGTGTGAGCAGCAGCCGTTTCTCTCTGTGACTATGAGGTTGTTTTTTTTTTTAATGCTTAGCTTTTTAAGGGTAGAGTAAAGGTGTCAGTTTTGTTTTAAGTTTGGGTCACATTAAGGCCATGGACTAAAAAAATGAAATTAGGTCAGTGCCAGGTCCTCAGGATGTCTCTCTGTGTGTGTGTGTGTGTACTTGTACTTGCACCAAGAAGAACATATCTTTTTTCCATTTTTTTTTTAATTGGTAAAGTTAGTACAGTTTTTGGTCCTCAGTTTTTTGGGCTACGGCTTGGTATTAAAGTGAAAGTATCGAAACTTTGTGAAATTTCTACTTAATTGTTAGCTGTTATCTAAAGTTAGTTGCTATCTAAAAAAAATTTCAAAAGTAAAGTATTAGAAAAAATCTTAATAAAGTACTCAATGTCTCTTCTACTATTTAAAAAGGTGTGACAAGATTGACGTTGATATAAATGTAACATTTTAAAAGTAATAAAAACGAATGGAAAAATACTCTGGCAGAAGAAACACTTTTATTAATTTTTTAGCATGAAACATGTATCAAATTCTTACAGTGTATAACAAAGTAAACAACCTCCAGTGACAATATATACCTTTTTATTGTATATTTCCTGACTTAAATTATTATGGTCTCAGCAGATAAAAATAACATTAAAACAAATATTTTAAACTAAAAACATTTAAATCGAAATGAATCTTATCAAAAACGTTTAACTGTCTTTGTGAATTGTGCTTGTTCTTTACAGTAAAGTTACTCGCATTGGGTAGAATAGCTATAAACTAAACTCGAGCAGCGACAATTAATATTATCTAAAAACTAAAAAAAAAAACGGTTCAATAAAGCTACTTCTAAAGAACATGTTTGTCAAAAAGTTACTCAAATAAATGTAACTATTTACAAACCATCTCTGGGTTTTGGATACAGTTAGGTTGGTATAGATAATAATTAGGTTTAGGGCCATGGTTAGTTCATGGGAAGGGTAAAAATGGTGGTCAATGCAAGGAGCTCAGTAATTAGTTAAAAAGGTTGGGGTTGAGAGAGAGAGCAGTTGCTGTGAATTAGGAGGTTTTATAAGACTGCAAAAGAAAGTAAATTCTTATCATAATGTGGTTTGTACACATGCTGTCTGGTGCAGCTGCAGTAGAAAACAGTTTTTTCTCCAGAAGCTTCTTACATCTGTGCTTCTTCTGATGTCGTTTTCAAGGCTTCGATAATATTAAAAGGAAAGGTTTTGTCTTGAATTTCCAAAGGAACAATTTCTATCCTAAAAACCAAAGAAATAACGCAAGCTGGTTCTCCTGAGTCTCGGTGTGTTCACTGATTAAAAATAAATTAGATTTTTAAGTTTCATTAAAGACTAGACAATCAAAAGAAAAAGTTCTGTTTTGATCGCCTGGTAATTTATTGGTGCATCTCTAATTATAACTTAAGGTTTGACTGATTTTGCTCGTTGTCGGATGGTTTTTATTCTCCATAACTAACCCTGACATTAAAAAATGAAACGTTACAGTTTGTGATTTAAATTAGGCTTTTGTTACTTTTTTGTATGTTAATTAATCCGAGGTATGTTTTAGTCTTTCTGTTTTAATCGCAGAAGCTTGGCTTCCTGTATGTAAAAAGTAAAAGAGGAAAGAAGAAGCTGCTTGACGTTAGCTGTAATTGTGATCAGTAGGATGGCAGCAACGGTTTAATGTTGCTCTCTAAAGAAAGTAAAGCTATAAATGGCTTTTTACTAACTTGAATTATGTTTATTCAGATTATTTTGAGAGGAATCAAGAATGGAACATTAGAACAAGCGGTTTCATTGACCTACATGCCCTGCCCACAGGTTTTTACACAGCTGGACACCGAACGCTGTTTTCCTGTGTGGAAAACCTGAACGCTGCCCAGAGCTCCTGCTTTATTCCTTCATGCACATGTAGGGATTTAATTATTGGACAGGCTGTTGTTTTGTTCCTGTAAAGAAATGTGTGTTGAAGTGGTGTTTCATTAAGGAAGTTGATTTTTTTTTTCTCTTTTCCACCCCCGCCTCAGTGAACAGAAAGGAAAAATCTTGTTCTACTAGTTTTGCCTGTAGAGGCCCGGAAACCTGATTCCTCTTGTAAATAGCCAGTCAACTACAAATGTCTTCCTTTTTTCCCCCCCTGTCTTTCTCCCATTTAAAGCTCCTTCCTGTTTAGCTGTATTTTTGATTTTCCTGATCACAGGTGGCCACATGGAGCCATATTTCACTGATCTTGTAACCTGAGTGCTTGCATTGTTTTGTTTTCTGACAAACCTCTCTGCAGTCTCTGCTTGTTTTGATGCAGCGTCGCATTTATTCAGTAACCATGCTATTTTCGGTGGCTCAGTGGTCTGTTAAAAGTGTGGTTGTTCCGCCCAGCAGGAGTCTTGCTTCAGACTGGCCTAAAATGGGCAGAAATGGGGCTGAACAAAAGCTGCTTGTCGTTCGTACAAAAGTTCTTGAAGCGTTGCAGCCGGGACCAAGCTGTATTACTATTGCCTGTGCCTCTCAACAGGAAAGGTATAGCAAACTTTTAGAAAAAACAAAACAATTCATTTAGCAGTTTGTTTGTAATGTCACAAATCTTCAAGCAGATTTTTTTATCCACACAAATATTAAAACCACTTTATCCTCTTTACATTTCTTACTGACTTTAGTAATCACACAACACTTAGTCCCTACGAAAGTAAACACACCTCTTGAACTTTTTCATCTTTTGTTTTTCTTCCTGCAATCATAACTCTTGAATGTGTTTCATTGGGATTTCATTTGGTAGACCAAAGCAGAGTAGTAAGCTAGAATACAAATATTGCAAGGTTATTTCTTTATAAAAATCATAAAGCTGCCGTGTCACCTTGCTGGACAGGGAATTCCCCCCCAGTCTAAAATAGCACTGTTATAAAAAGCCCAAACAAAACTGAATTATTTCTCATATTATTTCCTCCATATTAATTCATACAACGGAAGATACACTGCTTTTAAAAAGTATATTTTTACTACTAATACTATGCATTAATTTGCTGCTAGCTATTCATTTACTATTATGTAATTTACCAATTTGAGATTGGATCAAAAAGAGTAGATTCTAAATCTTACGATTAAAATCTGATTGATATTTGAGATTTGAAGCGATATCCAGCTCTAGTGTCAACACTGGCAGCCTCTGAAAGCTTTTCCTTTCCACGATGCTTCGTACCGCCAACACGCTTCACAGCTGGAATGTTACATTCAGAATGAGTTCCTCTTAAGCTGTTCATTGCCACAATGACACAAGCCCAGAACACATTTATCATACTTTAAAAACAGTGAGAGTTGTAATGCTCTCATAAAACCAACTGCAGTAAAACACCTCAAATGTAACGATCCCAGTCATAATGTTCATTTTGGTTGGCAAGCCTCCTGAATTAGGTTATTGTCATAGCAGCAATTTTTATCAATGAACAGACCAGTTAAAGAAAAACTATTTGTGGTAAAGGATTAACACTAAAACGTCTCTTGAGACGCATGATGGCAGATACAACAGAAATGTCTTTTTCACAAAGGTGTCGTGATTAATCGTAATTAATCGATTATTGAAATAATCAACTAATTTAGTAATTGATCGTTTTAATGAGTGTTGAAAGTGTGAGAGAGACTAAAATGTGCCTTTAGCTTACTGAGCAACCCCTTTAGAGCAGAAATTATACCTAAATTGTAAAAAAATAAAATAAAAAACATTTTGCAAAGAAAGTTTTCCGCTATCAATATGTTTTATTCAGAACTCCTCAAGTGGAAAAGTTTTAGTTTCATCAGCTTTACTGTAAAAAATCTTTAAGGAACCTTTGGCTTTATGTTTAATAATCATTAGTTGCAGTTCTAGTGTGAAATGTTAGAAAAGGCTTAAATGATACAAATGAAAAAAAAAAAAATAAATAAGCATTAGAACAACCGACTGATGTAGTAATAACCTAAAAGTTACATAAACTTTATACAAAACTTGATGAATAAAAGCTTATAGTATATATCAGCTCGCTAATATCAGATTTCAGATGCAGGCCGATATTTTCAGATATTTGATTTTTAGTAGATATCGGGACAGTTTTCAACACCAGCACTGGATCAGGAGATCCCTAATCTCTACATATCTAAAGCAGTAGGAGACGCACCAATAAAGAATTCTAGAAAAGGAGGAAAACTGTTCAATTTTATCTCCAGTTCAAAGGTTGAGATTTCTAATGAATCCCAATAAAATACTTTAAATTTGTGTTTGTTACTGGAAAGAATATGAAAAAGTTCAAGAGGTCTAACACTGTTAGCTGGTGCCATCTAGAACAGAGTGGATGTAATGAATCTGTTGGTGCTCACTTCCTGTTTGGTCTGACTCTGTTTTCTTGCTCATTCCAGCAGAGAGACATCATGTTCCCGAAGGGCACCAAGCGCAAGTTTTCAGACTCCGGAGAGGAACCGGTGTGCAGCGGCGATCAGGGCCCCTCGGCTTCGCCCGCTGCAGCTCGGACGCTTTCATCATCTTACAGTCTGCAGCGGCAGTCGCTGCTCGACATGTCGCTGATTAAGCTGCAGCTCTGCCACATGCTGGTGGAACCCAACCTGTGCCGCTCGGTGCTCATAGCCAACACGGTGCGGCAGATCCAGGAGGAGATGACCCAGGACGGCACCTGGCAGATAATGACCCAGGCCCTGGCAGCCGCCCAGTGCCCCGCCGATCGCCTGGTGGCCACCGAAGTGCTGTGCAGACAGACTGATGCGGCGGCGCAGGCTGGGCAGAGCCCCAAGCCGTTCCCGGTGTCTGGTCTGGAGGAGGGCTATCACTCTGAGGAGGTGGTGATGGATGGAGATGTGGAGGCAGAGGTCACCATGTCGTCCTTGTCCCCGGTCTCGCCTCAGCTCTCTTCGGCCTCTTACCTGCCAGGTCCTTTCGGGATGGCGCCCTGCTGGGAGGAAGAGGAGGAAGATGGTGACTGCGAAGAGGATGAAGAGGAGGACAGTGAGGAGTCCGTGTCAGAAGAAGAGGAAAGCGAGCCGGACCACCTAAGAGCAGACTCCAGGACTGGAGAGCAGGTTTTTGGGACTTTTGAGATCAAACACCCGGCTCCGCCCCCTGACCCGGCTCTGGAGGAACTGTTCTCAGACGTAGACCCCTCCTACTATGACCTCGATACAGTGCTGACAGGCATGCAGAGCACCCCCAAAATGGGGCCCTACGACCTGCTGGAGAGCCTGTCCTCCCACGCGCCCACGGCCCTGAGCTCCAGCTCCAGCTGCAGGTCTGACCTGAACGAACTGGACCACATCATGGAGATCATTGTGGGATCATGAAACGGAGAGACGCAGCACTCGGACTATGCACAGCAAACAGTGCGTGTTTGTGGTGATGTTACAGATTCTCACAGGTTTGGGGAACAAAGTGGGAGACTAATCGAGAAGAGGGTCAACTTTCAGACTGTAAACGGTTGAAATAAAGACGGAGAAAAGAATGACTTTGGGCGTTGGAAAGCCCACCTGACCAGGGAGAAAATTAGTGTCCTACTTTAAGAAAGTCCCAAACTTGCTGATGTCTGTTGGAAGGCAAAGATAATTACCAATACTGCAATGAAATCTGAGTCTCTGTTTCCATGTTTCTTTTTTTTCATACATTCTGTCATTCTAGCTCCTTCTGGTCCTATTCTGCCTTTTAAAGTCCGGTTCTATTTATTGTTACATGGACCAAGGGACAGCTCACCACACTACATGCACCGAAACAGAACAAATTGTAAATCCAAATCTATGAATTAATGCATATTTTTTTTTCTAGAGATTTGAGCAGTTATGAATGGAATATATGTAAATGTACGTATGTGTATATAGAAATATATTTTTTTGCATTATACGGCTTGGGGAATTTTGCGAGCATCGTTTGATATCCTGATTATTTTCTCTCCCGAGCAGTTTTTAAGGTTTTAAAGTAGCCAGACTGGAGGCGGTGTCTTCCTGTGGTTTGGTATAGGAAGTCCGCAGTAGAAGGTGTGAGGCCTGGCATCAAGGCGCTTTTCAGCCACTCACCAGATGTGGCTCAGGACTTTTCAGTTTACAGTATCCAGGAGACAAATGAAGTAGTCGGCTGTTCTGCTTTCAGTACAGACCCATTAATGGTAAGAATCTGGGGAAAGCCCCCAACACCCCCCACCAAATTACCACCACTGCATCAAGAAGCCATATTTTTTTTCTCATTTGTTGCTACAAATGAAGAACCTTCTGTATTAACCCATCTAATTTATTGTTTATTTATTGTATTTATTTTATCTAGGTACAGACATCGAATTAATTCAACCACCAGGCCCCCAATGAAATTGTATTTATCCAAATTTTGCTCAGTTTTCAATGCAGTACCTATTTATTCCTTTTTTTTTAATGATTATTAGTCAAAATAAAAACCAATGGGGTGAATCCTAAAGCTACTATGCAGCTCGTTCATGTGTTTCATACTGACTGTATCCTTAAATTCCATTATGCAAACAGTTGTCTTTCTCCAAATCTGTAGAAAAAAAATGAAAACCGTTTTCTTTCTTTTTTTTTTTTCAAATTGCTTCTTAAGGTGATTAAACATGAACTCAGGCAAATGAAATGTATTGATTAAAATACAGTATTACAACACGCTGAATACCTTACCACAACACTCCTGAAGGATGTCACTCTAGTCTGAATAGGAGCTAGAACTTCAAAGACTTAATTATCTTTGTAAAATGTATGCATTTTTATATCAAGAAAAACATTGTAGCATCTTTGTACATATTTTTTATAATAAAAGGTGCAACTATTGAACCGTTTTGCTTATTTCTGTGAATTGATCATTTTCTCTTTTTTTATTGTGGCTCCATACGGAAGTTTGGATTTAGATTTTATTGGTGAGGATTTAAAAGCCTGACACCTGCCCCCATCTCTAAATATTCTGTTTCTAATCAACGGTTGATGGATGGTTTTTCACGATCACGGTGATGTGATCCCTTAAGTATTTGGAGGCCCAAAATAAACTATAAAATACATAAATGTTATTGTCCCATTAGATAAAATAATGGGTAATTCAGTAAGGGTGGTGGGGGGGGGTTACAGGTTAAAAGGTTTGAAACCCCTGGTATAGAAATCAGTTCCAGAATGTGATAACCTTATTTAGCTTTAATTTCTTTGGCTGAATTATAGTACATTGCAAGTCAAATATGCAGTTCTTTAACCATCCTTTATTTCATTTTTGGGGAAAAAAAACTTGTTCAGTAAAATTAATTCAGGAACTGCGTTTATGAAAGCTTGTCAAGTAGATTGGAGCGCATTTAATCGTGAACACTGACCCTTATTGAAATAAATCTTTGCATATTATTTGATTAGGTAAGTAAAAAAATCTGGAAATTAAATAAGATGCACTTCTAAAAAACGAAACTGTAGTTTCAAGTGCAATATCCACTACTTCATATATATAAGTATGTAGGTTTATTTTATGAGCCAAAATATTTATTCATTTGCAGGATCTTTTTAAACAAAAAATTATTTTAAGAAATGTTGACTTGTTTTAGGTCAGAGTTTTCTGTTAATGTAAATATAAGTAAGCCTTTTAGAAATGCTAATAAAAATCAAAAGACTTTATAATACATTAAGTCTTGTTAATAGATTGTGGATCTGTGCATCTCTGCAGCTCCTCCAATGGAACGATAAACCAATTAGTGCCTCTCTAACAAATGTTATCTTTGCCTGCCCAGTGTCTAGATTTAGATTTTTGATTATTCTGTTACTATTTCTATTTTTAGATTTATTGATTAAAATTCGGAAATACTCGGAGATCTATAATCTTCATTTGTAATTTAATTTATTTTTTATTTAAGTAAGAGGTAGCTGAATAAAGGCAATTTAGGACATAATGCTAAACTTCTTGGTGTGTATTTATGAAAACGTTTCTAAAATTGTTTTTTTTTTTTCTGAAGTTCTGCACAGCTTAATGTTGTTTTATCTCATAAAATCCAAATTAAATACACAAAGTTTGAAAGTTTATTAGAAATCATGAAATAAAAGGTCAAATATGAAAACGTATATGGGGTGCAGCCTAAACCACATTTTTGTGCACGATTGATTTTGAATAAACGACGTCTAAGATCTGAAAGGTTTGTGTGCTCGCTTTAAAACGAGGAATACTGAAAGCTGATTTAGACCAGAAAGCTCCAGTCTGGTTTGAGTGAGACCTTTGTCCTTTCGTGCTCTCACATGATAATGTTGGACTATGAGATTCTGTGTGAGATAGGAAGTAGTTCAACAGAACAGAAAGCTAACCTGCTCACTTCAGACCTGACTTAGTCGGTTTAGTCTGCTGCAGAGACACAAGTTCAACATTCTTCAACTTTAAGAAGTTTAAGGAAGGTTTATATTCAGTTTAAATTTCTATCTTTATTTATACACTTGGGCTGCAAGCATACAGATACAGAATAATAAAACCATGAACAAAAACAGCATAAAATTGATTCCTGGTAAAAGTAGAGGAGATAAAATAGCAACATCTTCACTAAAAATGTGTGGTTACTTTTTTTCTTCTTCTTTTTGTTGAGAGTTTAGCTTCACTGTGAGCTGTTGAATATTTAGCGATTTAGAGAACTGCTTTAACAAGTTAGCTATTTTTCTGCAGCTGTCAGCAGGTATTCCAGACCAGGAAGATCAGAATCTGTTCCAAGATTTTAAAAAATTTTCATTGTTTTGCCTCAGAAAGATGTTCAGTGTTTCCTCTCAATCGTCGTGTTGGGTTACTGTTCAGGTATTAGGCTGGCCGCTCCATAACTTTGACCTTTTGTTAGCAAGATGCTGCGAAAACTGATATCTAAGTCAAATTTTCTTTAAATAAATGTGTTCTCCCCAGTTTTTTAGCTTTTAAGTAAGATAATTTTACTATGGATTAAGATTATTTATGTTTAAAAAAAAAACAACTCAAAAATATAATTCAAGTGCATAATGTATATATATATTTTTTTACTGGCAGAAATATTCATTCCATTGGTAGATAATTTATTAACATCCGCAAATTAGTGAAAGACACTTTTTTCCAATAGATATTATATTATACTGAAATTTTATTTATTTTTAGATCAGTTTTTGCAGTGTAGGATTAATTCGTAGAATCATCCATTTCAGTTTCCTATTCCTCATAAAGGCAACATTCAGAGCTTTGGTTGGCTGAAACGGATCAACTATCTCTGGGATGTCAGAAATGTTTCTGACCCTGCAGTCTGAGAAACCTCAATTTACATTTGTTCCTTATTCAGCACAATGAGGTCTGAATTCATGTTTCGCGGCCGTCAAACAAACTGTTAGTAATTCCTAAAGGCAGAATAAGCACAAGGGTTATTTTCCCACATATAGGAGATTTCTATGAAACATCAGCTGCAGGCCACACCTTCAGAAAGAGTAAACACCAAGGGTTGCCAGATCACTTAGTTTCAACATTCAAACATGCACATTTAACTGGCTGGTATAGATAATTAAATGGTTAGTTTCTTACACTGATGTCTCACTCAAGCACCCAGGAACCTTATGTACAGGAGAACCAGATATGTAAACACAACCTCTGTCTATTATTCACTCAAGTTTTACCCAACAGTCGATCCTTCCCTAAGTAAAAAAAAAAATAATAATGACTATTCATAGTAGCTTCATCTGGTCTGTTCCTGTTTGGATGTGACACCATCCTTTAGAGAACTATCAACTGTGCTGTGCTTGGCCTGTTTTTCAGTGTACTCCTGTTTCTCTGAATGTGACTCGTTGGATGTGCTCTCTTCATCCTCTGAAATGGGAGCTGGCTCGGAGCTCGTCTGCCCGGCTGTGTGTTTCCTTGACAGGGCCACCTTTGACAGTTGCCTTTTGAATCTCTGCTTCTTTTTGTATCTCTGCTTCTGTCTCCTCGAACCCCAGTCGGCCTCGGCAGATGGCCGCTCACACTGAGCCTGGTTCTGGTAGAGGTTTCTTCCTGTTAAAAGGGAGTTTTTCCTCTCCACTATCGCTACAAGCATGCTTAGTGTGAGGGATTAGCTTTAAGTCGATGGTTTTCCTTAGATAGAAAACTTTGAACCAATCTGACTGTATGATCTGCTTGAATTGTCTCGGTATAGTGCCTTGAGATGATATGTGTTGTGAATTAGCGCTATATGGATAAACTGAATTGAATTAAAAGTAAATTTGAGTCAATATCAACATCCTGTGTTAGTATTGCCCTTATGGGCGAAATCTGATATTTACTGATGTAGTGAGAAATTTGGTGTGTATTCTTTTAATGAACAGAAGAACCCGTATGCCAAACAAAAACTCTAAAACCCCATGAGTTCCACATGGAGTGCGTTTCCTCGGAATCTGTTACCGCTATTCTCTTAAGACATACTGAGTTTTTCTTTCTGCCTGGTTCTTGTATGGAGGAGTCTCTTAAGTTTTTTTTCATCTTCTTCCTCCCACATCTGTTTCTCATTAGTATCCTGCCCTGTGCTGTAATGTGTACAAAAAGGATGTGATAAAGTTCTGCTCGTTGCATATTCACTTATGCTGTTGAACGCTGCTTGCCTTCGAATAAACTCAGAGGCGGGACGGATCTTCTCTAGATTTATTAAAACTTACTGCTTTGATTGATTGATTATTGCATCTCCAAAACACTATTATATGTTTCTCTCTCCTACCCTTTGGTGACCATGAAAAACCAGAAACAGAACTGACAATGTTTTTCTGCTTCAGTTAAACACCCATAAACCTGAGCTGCATCACAATCACTGTCACATGACCAAACAAATACCACATGACTGACCCCCTCCCCCTCAGCAACAAAAACACCAACTGCATGGAAATAAACACTGTGGTTGATAGAGGCCCTGCTTCACCTATTGGGCCAATACCAATATGTGTAACATTATACTGATAGGAAAGCTGATATATAATTAAGTTATCTTTATCTTTTTTTTAAGCTCCTAAGCAGGAGTGCTGATACAAAGCGTGGAATAAAATCCAGATTACTGACATTCTCCAAATATTCATATACATGATCTCTTCTTAACTGGACAAATATGGGTAGAAGTTAAAACCTGAGGCTCCATATTTTGATAACTGGTGATATCTTCATGTTTACGGTAGCAGTGCTCACTGGTAACTCTAGACTTCTTTTGAATACCATTGAGATTATGACTCGGTTAGCTTTGATACTATATATAATTTCTTTGATCCATTTTCAATTCAGTTTATTTCTATAGTGCCAATTCACAACACATGTCATCTCAAGGCACTTTATAGTTCACCAGATCATACAGTCAAATTGATTCACAGTTTTCTATCTAAGGAAAACCAGTTGATTGCATCGACTCAATGACTCAAATGCCATCCCTCACACTAAGCATGCTTGTAGCGACAGTGGAGAGGAAAAACTCCCTTTTAACAGGAAGAAACCACCAGCGAAACCAGGCTCAGCGTGAACGGCCATCTGCCGAGGCCGACTGGGGTTCAAGGAGACAGAAGCAGACATAGAAAAAGAAGCAGAGATACAAAAGGTAACTGTAAAAGGTGGCCCCGTCCAGGAAACACACAGCCAGGCAGAAGAGCTCCAAGCCAACTCCCATGTCAGAGGATGAAGAGAGCACATCCAGCCAATCACAGGGAGAGAAACAGGACACTGGAAAAACAGGCAGATCGCCAATATCTATAAACAAAGGTGTTGAGGGCAGCAGCACAGCTGATATTTCTCTCCAGGATGGTGTCAAAGTCAAAAAGGAACAGATGAGGCGAAGCTAAAATGATAAAAGGAAGAAAGAGCATAACGTTAGAGAATAAACTAACAGATTCTGCAGAGTGGAAGAATAGAGATAGAATGAAGCAAAATTATGAAAATAGGGGTCTCTATGTCCTCCAGAAGTCTAACCCTATAACTATAGAGATAGCTCAGGATAACCTGAGTCACTCTAACTATAAGCTTTATCAAAAAAGGAAAGTTTTAAGCCTAGCCTTAAAAGTAGACACATTTTAACACGTTTTAAAATGTTTTTGTCGCTTTGAAAATGTTTGAGAACATTTTAGCAGACAAGCGTATCAGGGTCTCATTTGTTTTTCTCTCTCCAACATTTTGCTTTTGAAATAAAGGTATGCTGTTTCATCTAAATGGTAATAACCCATCTCATTGTGGTTTTCAAAGGGAGTACACTTTAGCCAGTATTTATATTTGATGCCTTTATCCTCTAAAAAAGGCGAAATGTTATGCCTGTTTTAATTAAATAATTCACACCATCATTCTGAAAATGCCCCCTTTCAATTAATAATTAAATTACTCAGCATGTGTTGCATCCATGTCATGGTTATTAGGCCTTTTTTGTCACCCAGCCACTCCTCGTGCAAAATTATTTTCCATATGGAAATATATAGTTTCTAGCTGATCTGGTTCTGTTGCTCTGCTGCTATTCTGAACACATCAATATCAGAATCGCACAATAGCAGTGAAACTGTTCTAAAAATGTTTGAGGTGTGAAAGCATCACCAGGTTTTAAGTTTCAAGTGTCCCTCATGTTTTTACAAACTACATTTATTCCTTGTTCGCTTTTTATTTCCACGTTCAAGTCAAATATAGAAATTCAGAAGGACAAATATCCCATACTGAAGAGTGTTTAGGGAACACATTCAACCAGATTTAAATTATCCTGACATAAATGGATAAAACATCTTTGTTTCCTGATGCTCTTTTTCATTTCTGTGCTTCCCTAAATTGATTAAAGTATCACTGGAATTGAAGCCAATGCAGTAAATTCCACTCTGATATTCTGATTTCCAGCTTCTGTATTTTAATTACAACATTGTGACTGACTACAGCTATATTCTAGCGTCTGATCAGAGCCAAACGAAAAAAGGGAAACGTAGATGAACGTTAAGAAGCAGAGTTGCCTTATTTGGTGGTTGCCTTTCCTGTTTTTCCGGTCACGTCAATTCTGAGTCATCTGCCTCTTTAAAATGCTGCGTTCAGGGACTCACTGCACATTCCAGGCCTTCTAGATATTTCCAGCTTAAGTATTTAGTAAACCCTTCGTGGGTGCAATCTTTTGATCTCTCCCCCCCATTACATTCAATCATATTCTTAAACACTTGTTTGGGCCCCAGTAGCAGCATTCAGAGACTGAAATATCCCCTTCCATCATGCAAATATGACATCAAACTATCATAAAGTTGTTGTGTATTTGACCTTTCTCTTTTGTATTTGACCTTACACTTCAACTGTTAGAACATCAGAACATTTGTTTGGTTATCTGTACCTTTAGTGTCCCGCCCTCCCTAAAATAAATGCCATTAAGTTAAAATAGAGGTGGGTAACGAATAATTGATTCAACAAAATTTCACTCAAAAAAAAAAGTTGTTTTAAACGCTCTGATGAAAAAAATTAAATTCTGCTTTTGGTTTCTGGGTTGATAATAATCAGTGGTGTCAAAAGTACACACATTTGTTACTTAAGTAGAAGTATAGATTCTGCAGTTTAAAAACACTCTGGTAAAAGTTGAAGTATCAACTTGACCTAAAGTAAAAGTGAAAAAGTACGTGCTCCAAAAAAAAAAGTATTAAGTAACCATAAAAAAAAAGCCAGATGCCACTATATGAATTTTAAAGCTAAATTTCTCGACTATTTTAAAAATTCTTTGAGATAGGGCAAAGGATGAGGGAGGTCTTCCTGGTCCGTCTCCCGATACGCTCTTGCCTGTGTCCGACCTTTCAGACATTTCAACATCTTTTTCTGAATCCGACTTCTGATGATTTCCTTTGCCGTCAGCACAAATTTGACAAATAACTAACCAATTAGTGTTTGCGTTATATGACTCATCCAATTAAACTAGTTTACACTAGATGTGGATGGCGCCACATCTGCATTGGAAGGCGCACATGATGTAAAATTAATAATTAAAAACATTAAACTGAAGCCAAGAGTACCAAATGTTTTTTTTAAATAATGTAAGGTATGGCAAGTACAGATACTTGTGTGAAAATGTAATGAGTAGAAGTCAGAAGTATGAAGAAAAATAAGTAAAGAAACCTAAAAAGTGTACTTAAGTACAGAAACGAAGTATTTGTATTTCCTTACTTGACACCTGTGATAATAATATAGAGACACAAAGGTCAAGCTGAACATCTTTATTAGGTAAATATTGGCTAATAAGGTACTCTGTACAGACTTCCATGCATAAAGATTTAAGAATCTACTTCTAAAAATGAATAAAAACTGTAGGTTTCCTGTTATAAATGACTGTTTTGTGAGTAACAGTGAATAGTGACACCGCATGAAGTCTGAACTGGTACTGCTGGAATCCAATTAACTTATGATAAAATTAAGATATGCTGAAAATAACTCTGACAGAGGCCTGGTGCCTTAAATAGCACCACCAGTGAGATGATCTGAGATTGAGTTTATAACCATTTATTACAAATGACAGAAGTTTAACAAATACTATATTGGATAACAAATAGAGTTTAATTGATTTTTACATACTTTTTTTTGGATAGTAGCATTATTGGATGACAAGTCAATGAAACTAAACAGAGGCAAGTTGACAGGTTTGTTTTTGCTCAGTGATGTCTTTTTTTATGCATCTTTCAGTCCAGTTTTTACACAAGCGTTCTGTGCATTAAGTGATTATTTGATCAGGAGACTGTTCATTCTGTTCTAATGGCCTCATGTTGTTATTAAAAACAGACCATGCCAAATAATTAGACACAAACACTTTCTGCTTAGACTCATGCTTTAAAACTTATAAAAATCAAATGCTCTTTAAAACTTGTATGCTTCGATTGTAATATTTATAATGCTGAATATTCCAAACATGTTTTCCCAGGTGTCATATTGGGGGATCCCAAAATATTCCTATATATATATATATATATATATATATATATATATATATAT